GATCTATAAATTTGGTACATTCTCAATCAAAACTGAATTTTTTTGGGAGATGGGGGTAGAAACTGACAAGCTAGGGGTAGAAACTGACAAGTGGATTCTGTAATTCATATGGAAATGCAAAGGACCGAGATTAGCCAAAACAGGATTTCGAGAGTTACTACAAAACTATATCGCAGTAGTGTGATATTGGCATAAAGATAAACAAATAGATTAGCACAGAACAGAGAGTCCAGAAGTAAACTCACACATATACAAACAACTGATTTTTGGCAAAGGTATGCAGATAGAGACATGAGAACCAGCAAAGGCCACCATAACCATACCCTCACTAATGAACTATGAGGGGATACATGCCTAAGAGGAGGCTTGCCCAAGAGAAAGAAGTCCAAAACCAGATGAGCTTTCTAGCACAAATGAGAAGCCTGCACACCATCAGTGAAGACTGAAGTGACAAGCTCAACTATAAAATGGGGCTCAGTTGGCACAGAAAGGTGAACCTGGTGGCTTTTGTATAAGGAGAATGGGAAACTAGGGCTTCTCCTTCTGATGGTGGAGCTGTGAAGGACAGAATCTTCCTTCCTCTCCACTTGCTTCAGGTGAACTACTCGGAGATACTGACTCTAAGTAATAGCTATCTGAATAGATGTGAGCATGTGTGCAGCAACTGAATGGGCATGAGTAGTATTTGAAGGAGCTCACAGATGGTTGCAGTAACAATTTAAAATAACATACTTTGTCAATCCATTGTCAAGATTTCCAGGAACTCTCCTTTGCAATCATGAAAATTTCCTTCATGTTTACCAGTCAGTGTTTAGAAAAATCATCTCACGAAATGTTTATATTCATAATACTTATTCATGCACTTATTATGGCCTACTGTGGGACAAAGGACACCAGAGAAAAGATCCTCCTCTGACTCACAGCCTCAGTCTCCAGCTCCAGTGGCCTTTGCAGTTTGCAAGCATGCTTCCAAGAGTTAGCACACGATGTTCCTTCTTCCAGTTCTGCATTCTGCACATGTGGGCACCTACACCAAATCACCTCTTGTGGATGGTGCTCATAAGGTTGCTAAACTTCTCCTTGAGTTGAGGGACTCAAAGGAACTACTAGATCCATGGGTAGCACAAGGTGAAGAAGCATACATGTTTATGTTTATGATTCAGGCTTAAACCAGAATCGGAAAGATACAGACTTAATTCCAGGCATACCTTGCCAGAGGGTGTGACATTAGGCAAGTTGTACATACTCTCAAACCCCTATTTCTTCATGTAGGAATTTTTTTCATGAGGTATTGTTTAAGGAAGTAGACAGAAAATGATCCATGAGGATGTTTGCTGCAGCATAAATGATAATCTAAAATGATAAATATATGGAAACACATACACTAAAATGACAAATAGAAGGGAGGTTTTTAATGAATGCTGGAATTCCAGAGTTGTTTCTTAATTCTCCTCTTTCTAATTTGGTGGATTTTTTATGAGCATGAATTACTTGAATAACAATGGACAAACTTATTTTTTATCAAAAGTGTAAATTCAAATACTAGTGTGGTGTTTTCTTCCATCAGATAGCAGAAAACAGTAGGACTGGTCAATTCTTAGTGATTGGATTATTTGTAAGGAGCAGATATAACCTGTGACATAAAATGAATACAATGAAAGTGACATCTAAAATCATCACAATGATACAAACGGGGGCTTGGGAGCACCTACATAACCTTGATCAGAGTGATTGCTTTGCACTAATGTTGCCTGAGGGTGAGGTTCTCTGGGAAGGCTCATGGTGCTGGGCAAATTGGGATTTCTTTTTCAGTTCAAATCTAAGCTCTCACACAAAAAGGACCTTACCTGTCCTCTCACTCCTTCACAGCATCCTAGAGAAACTTGATCCCATGCAGAGAACACAGCAGCTGCCAACCAACAGGCACATAAGTCAGGGAAGCAGCAGGCTGCAGATAGCCTTTCTACGTGATAACAGGGAACACCTAAGAGCTTTACCTGAGAAACAGGAAGCTGAGACTAGAGCCCACAGTTTATGCTGATTGCAGAGTGTGAGATCTCAGTCTCTCAATAAATCTTTATTTAATCCACATAAAGATCCAAGTAGTAGGAGCAGCTCCTGTTTAGATACAAAAAGTGGTTATCCCTGATTGATGAGATCAAGGAAGAACTATATATTCTTCACACTTGGCTCTGTATTGACTCTACATCTTATCTGTAGGAGAGAGGGAGAGAAGGAGAGGGAGATCTGGCAATTCTACTTCTGCCATGGGGGATCTTTCCAACTCTCAAAGAATGTGCGCTTCTTAAAGGGTAACCTGCAGTCTGAGAACAGTCCCCGTCCAGGCATGCAAGGACAGAAAGGATATTTTTTCCCCCAGGGGTTTAGCGGGGTGTGGGAGGGGGTGGGCAAGGATGTGCAAGGAAAGCTCCTTTCTGTCTTGCAGGCACCCATCTAACTTTGTTTGCCCAAAGCAGTAACAGTGGGCTTTTGTCCCCCCACCCCCACCCCCGCACACCTTCTCTGACAACAGAGGATCAGACTGCCTAACTGATGGTAAAGCTTTGACATGCACCTGGTGCAGGAGATCTATGATCCCTAGCACTGCATTTTATCTGCTGAGTTCCCCTTAGAGAGAACCATATGTCTTTGGAGCCCCAGAACATGCTGGCTCCACAAGATCTAAGCACACTACTGCCTGAGAGGAGGCTGGTGGTGTGGTAGCACTACTGAACCTCTCTTTTCTTTTGAGATCATGTTGTACATACACAGTGCTACATAACTGGCTCTAAAGTGGTAAGGGGGGTTCCGGTTAAACCCACCTAGCAGGATTCTTGCTGAAGACAGGCCAAGGGTAATCAGACATCAACTAGGGGATGGTGGGAGATGAGGAGCCCCATCAGATAGCAAGGATGATCAGATATTGAGGATGGAGGGTTCATGCCTCACTGACGTAGCAGGGCTCTTTGCTGAAACTGGGTTTTACAAGGAAGTGCACAGCTGGGCCTAGGAGAAGTTTCAGAAGCCTGACTTAAAAGTCTGGCCAAGCAAAGGCTATTTGTCAACATTCAAGACAGTTTCCTTAACATTGAAGTCCTAGAAGTAGAAATGCTGGGTCACAGGATTTTTTATTTTTTGAGACAGGGTCTTGCTCTGTTGCCCAGACTGGAGTGCAGTGGTGTGATCTTGGCTAACTGTAACCTCAACCTCCCAGGCTCAAGCTATCCTCCCACCTTAGCCCTCCAAGTAGCTGGGACTACAGGTGTGCACCACCATGCCCAGCTAATTTTTGTATTTTTTTTTTTTTTTGTAGAGACAGGGTATTGCTATGTTGCCCAGGATGGTCTCGAACTCCTGGGCTCAAGCCATCCACCTGCCTCAGCATCCCAAACTGCTAGGATTATAGGCATGAGCTGCTGCACCTGGCCTGGATTTTTGTGCAAATGTTTAGGCTCATTTATGTATGTGGGTTTATCATCCTTCTTTACATTTTTTTCTGGATTCCTATCATGCTTAAAATGGCTTTGCACTCTCTGAGAACCTAAGCTTTCACGCATCTTGGGGGAGACTGAATATTCTCTTGAGGGCCACTAAGGCAGCAGCACTGAGAAAAAATTGGAGGGTAAATTTGCAGGTGAAGTGCACAGCTGGGAACATTCCTAGACCGAGAAGGACAGAACATTTTGCAGGAGGGGCGAGAAGCCAGAGACAAGCCCTTCCCAGCACTGAGCAGGCCCTTCCTCCAGGTGGCACAGAGCCTCTAGGAGGCGGGAGAGGGATGGAAAGACAACCCACGTGGCACACCCCCGAGGTTTGGGATTGGCTGGTGGGGTTGACACTGCTGAGGTTTAAGTAAGGAAGCAGAAGCAGGTAGGTGCTACTTCTCTTCCTTTCTTCATTCTTCCCCAGGCTCTCTGCTGACTCGGGTCAAGTGTAAGTGAGAACAGGTGTGAGAGAATGAGCCGGAGGGCTTCGGGTGGGTTGGGCACCATGGTCCCTGGCCTCAGAGAAGGAAGGGCCTCGAGGTCTTCACCCTTCTCTTTAGCAGGAGGTGATGCGGCAGGGCCGAGACAGGGGAAGAAGGAGGGCCGTAGAGGGGTGGAGGGTCAGCCAAGATGGTGTGAGTTTTGGAGGGAGACACTACTTGAGTCCTGGAGGTATATGAAACTGCCCATAGAGGACGATGCCGGGGTCCTCAGTGAGGAGCAGGGAAGGGTGAGACGGCCCGCGCTTGTCAGCACCCGCCTCAGTGTGCATGTTCACTGGGCATCTTCTAATCAGCCCCTTTGCCCACGAGGTGAACGCTGCAGAGTTGTGAGGCTGCTGTTCTCGTTCCAACGGTCGGGAATCTTTCATCCGAGACTGAGAGTCAGTGGGTGGGTCCACCGATGGGTCCTCCTGGGAGTTTAAGTGTGAGGAGGAGCTGGTGGGCTTCAGGCAGGTCGGGCAGCACAGTCCGTGGCCTTGGAGGAGGAAGGGCCTCAAGGTTGTAATTCTTTTCCTAACAGGTGGTGGCGCCGCCGTGACCTTGTGATTGTGTAACAGGGCCAGGGCGAGGGAGGAAGTTGGGCCACGGAAGGGAGAGGGATCAGATGAAGCAAAACTTGCGGGTACTTTCTGAGGTACCTTTGAGTCCCAGAGGCACCTGAAACTGCCAACAGAGGGCAAGTTTCTGAGTTCTCAGTGGGGACCTGGGGAGGAGGGGACCTGGGGTGGCTGTATATTTAAAAATCTCTTTATAATGGAATTCAGTTATGAAATTAAGTCGCTTTAGGAAAGACCCCATTTTTTTAATCTAGGACTTGAAGATCACTTCTCTGCCAAGTTGGCTGTGGAAGAAACAAAGCAGTTTGCAGATAGATTTATTTGATGTGATTGGAAACCAGGCGTAGTTATTATTAACTCAGGACCTATTATGGAAATCTAGCAAAATTTAAAAAAATTACAATCAGCAGATGGCCATGGAAAAAGTTGAGTATAATTACTTCTTTTTATTGCAGTCTTCAGTTCACGATCTTCTAGTTGCAGCGATGAGTGCACGAGTGAGATCAAGATCCAGAGGAAGAGGAGATGGCCAGGAGACTCCCGACGTGATTGCATTCACGGCTGTGAGTACCTTTCGGTATCTTATTTCCATTGGCAGAAATGTATTCTTCTGAAAGAAAATAAAAAACATTGTTGAGCCAATATAGATCTGTTATATAAAGGACTTCCCTGCTGAAAATGGTTGCAAACTAAGTCACATGAATGAGACATTGAGCAAGGAGAATTATTTTCTGGTATTGTCTGCATATGTATGTTGTTAAGAATCTGGAAATAGTCCTTATGACTTTCCTATCAAGCTTGTTAATAAGTAATACAGCCCAGAAAAGATGAAAATGGGTTCCAGAATTATTGGTCCTTGCACGTAACTTCTTAAAGTATTTTCTATATAGGAAGAATAAATTTTTCTTAAGAGTACTTACAGAAAGGATAGGAGAAACCTCTTCAGATATATTTGTGATCAGCTGTCTTCACATAGTATGTATATTTGTGACTTCTATTGGCATGGTATTAATAACAATATTCTATTTGCATCTATTCTCCCCCACGTCCCACAAGCCCCGTGAATCTCAGCAAGAGGAACCACCAACTGAGAATCAGGATATTGAACCTGGACTAGAGAGAGAAGGAACACCTCCCATTGAAGGTGAGAAGGGCATAGAGGAGCATTTGTATGTCATGTGTGATGTTATACTAGTGACAGGAATAAATAAAATATCCCCTAAAAATAGGCTGGAAACCTGTAAGGTAATCCTTGGTAAGAGAACGGTGTAGTTTTCAGCTGCTGTAGTCCTTCTTATGATAAGTTTTCTCTTCAGCATTTTACTTATCCTGTAACTTAAGAGTTCTTTGGCATACTTGGAAAATACAATCCTTGCCAAGATTCTATATTAGCAAACAAAAGGAAACTACATTAAATTTAGACAAAATTGTAAACTGTTTCATGAGTTAAACTTGTTTTTATTGGGATTTTATTTTTCTGGGCACAAGTCGTTGCATTAAAAGTTTGAGCAAACCTAGATAAATTATGGATAGCTCTTACAGAGCAACTTTTAGAAAATGTCATAATTCAGAGAAATAAAACTGTAAAATCCTATTAGTTGCTGTTAAAAGTCTTCAATACTTTTGTCTTTCTGAACCATAATCTATTTATCATAATCATATATTCATTTTTAACTCTTTACTTAGAAAGGTTTTAAAATGTAAGGAAAAGTTATCTAAATACAGTGAACTCCTGTATATTTTTCACCTGAGGCACTGATTGCTAGCATTTTCCACTCATCTTTCTCTTTTTGCCATATCAATATATTATTGCTGAGCCACTTGAGAGTAGTTTCAAATATCACAACTCTTTCCTCTGTAATTCAGTATGCATCTGCTAAAAATATGGACAATCTCTTAAAAACTTCAGAACAATTATCAAATTCAGGAAAATCAACATTGAGGAAACAGCTAATATATAGTACATTGCAGTTTTGTTTTGTCAGTTTGTCTAGGAATGTCCTTTATAGGGTTTTTTTTTTCCTTATCCAGGATCTAATGCAAGACCACTCATTGCATTTAGTTGTCATATCTCTCTGTTCTTCTTTAACCTGGAGGTGTTCCTCAGTCTTTCTTTGCCTATCATGACATTGACAACCAGAATCCAAACCAGTTGTTTTGTAAAATGTTCTTTAATTTTGGTTTGTCTCATGTTAATATTTTTGCAGACTTTTTTTCCATTCATTTATTAGGGCTTACTAGGTGCTGGGTAATGTACTTTGTGCTGAGGCTGTAAATGAAATGATTTCTGTCTTGAGCTCACAATCTAATCAGGGAAATTCATGTAAACAAATAACTGCTCTAATGAGGGATTTACCATAACAGAAATATATGAAGATTGTGAAAGTGACAACTAAGTTGTCTTAAACAGTTGTAGGAAAAGAAAACTTCATAGTAGAGATATTCTTCCCCATTTTCTAGCAGAAAATTTTAATTGCACTCATGAATCTCATTTATTAGAACACTAGCCCACAGAGCTTTATTTAATAACACTAATTTATCATTTACTTCTAACTTGTATCAATAACTTTTTTATTTGTATAGAACGTAAAGTGGAAGGTGATTGCCAGGAAATGGATCTGGAAAACGATGGCAATGAGGATGGAGATGATTCTGGTGTAGAAGAGAAGACTCCACCTAATCTGGACCATGCTAAGATTCCAGAAGCAGGTAAGTTATTCATTCAGAATGGAAGTCATGGGGTTACTCTTCTTCTATAATATGCTTTAATAACAAATCTCACATACAAAGATTATTTGAAAGGTAGCTCATATACCAAATATTTGATTCGAAGACAGTGTTAGGGAAAAAAGTGAGTTAGGTCAAAGCCATGTTGTTGAATTATGAAATATGAAAGTATTATTACTTTGGAGTAGAAATATTCCAAAACTCAAAGCAAGTGATCAAATACTTTAAAAAGTATATACATTACTTAACATACCCCAGGGGCAATTGGGTATCTAAACAACACATGGTGTTGCTTTTTTAAAAAAATTGACTAGAATTGTTTATCACAAATCGCTTTTAGGCACTAACGAGTAAGATAGATCTGTATGTTTTGAATTTTCCAAGTTGGTTTGTTGGTTTTTTAAAATGGTGAGCTAGACTGAGAAACAGTAGCATTTTCCATCACATTTTAATGTCATCTATATGGTAGTGGCTTAAATAAGCCAGTTCGACCATGTATTTCTTTCTTTCTTTTTTTTTTACGGGGCATATTTGGTCTCTAACCATGTAATTTTTATCATCTAAACCAGGACACTTTTGAGAGGGAAAGGGAATGCTATGAATACAACATCAGGTTAACAGGTGCCAATGAGACAAATGGCCACCCTGTTATAAAGAGTTCACATAAAGATTTAACTAGATCAACGAATTATTTTTGCACTTTTGCACAAAAGAGACAAACCAAATGGAATGCTGCCATTCTTTGACCTCTCTTAATCAGTTAAACAATTCCTTAGCTAATATATAGTGAGTGGAGTATTTTTAGTCAACACGTTTGAGTGACGCTATGTTTGCTTGCTTGTTTTTTGCTTCTTGGAGTTTTTGTTTGGTTAAAAACAAACAAAAACAAACTGAAATCAGTGGCTGTTTTTGCCCTCTACTTAAAATTATCTTTAAATGGGCTCATAGCATTTAATCTGCTCTGGCTTGAGAAGTATTTGTTTCCTCATACCACTCGGGTGATGCATTTTAAAAATGAGTACACATATGCCTGAAAATGTACATTAGCATAGAAGTCTATGCAGTGGTTAGGGTTCTGGTTTTAATTTCATCTTAAAAAACCAAAACTAGTGTTCTTTGTGTGCTTTTAGTATCATCTCAGTAAAGTTCTGCTAAGTAATGGACTCAACTGTTACGTTTATATTTTAGGAGATGGGCAGCCATAAGTTAAAGAGAAGACAAGCTGAAGCTACACACATGGCTGATGTCACATTTTCAATGTGACTGAAAATTTGAAAATTCTCTCAATAAAGTTTGAGTTTTCTCTGAAGAAGTCATGCGTGTCTTTTGTAAAATCTATTCCTAGGAAGTTGATACTATTGTAGATGGCATCTTTAGAAAAATCCTTTTGTTCTGTTTACAGCTGGTATGTATTTTTGTTATACTGATTTTGGTCAGGCAACGTTGCTAAACTTGCTTATTCTGTTGATTTATCTCTACATCCTTTTGGATTTTCTCCATACATAATCATACAACATGTAAATAATGATAATTCTGTTTCTTTCCTTTTGAAGATTTACACTTTCATTTCTTGTCCTTATGACACTGGCCAGACCCCTCCAGTACAATGTTGATTAGAAGTAATGATGGTGTAAATTCTTGTCATATTCCTGATGTCAAGCGGGAAACCTTCAACATTTAACTATGATAGGTTTTAAAAATATATGTAGATTCCTTCTACAGGTTAAGTATAGCTAATACGAAGTCCTCCAAAATCTGAAACTTTTTGAGTGCCTCTACAATGTTCAAAGGAAGTGCTAATTTCAGATTTCAGATTCTCAGATTGTGGATGTTGAACCAATAAGTATGATGGAAGTACTCCAAAATCTGAAACTGCATTTCAGAGATGGTATACTCAACCTGTATTAGATTAAGGACTTTTCAAAAAGATATTAGTTTTCTAAGAGCACTCCTCATGGGCTTTGGGGTGCTGCTGCCCAGTGCCAGCAGCCCCTTGGCACAGGAATTCCAGAGGCCCCTCAGCCCCATGCCTGACTCCCTCTCCCTGCTGGCAGCTCCACAGGCTTCCTTTCACTTCCACCTGCTGCCCACCGCGGGACACTGACAGGGCTTAAGGGCCTTGGGACATGAGTACTTACCATGCTTACCATGAATATATGTTGAATTTTATCAAACACTTGGTCTGCATCTATTGAGGTGTAGGCCATTTCTCCATGAAGCAGTTAACATAGCATTCCTAGAATAAGTCCAATTTGAGTTGTAATATATTGTTCTTTTAGGTATTATTGGCTCCTTTTCCTAATGTTTTGTTTAGGATTTTTGCACTTTTGTTCATAAGATTGACCTATAATGTTTTAATACACGCTCCATTCAGGCCTTGTTATCAAGGGTATTCTAGCTTCATAATATGAGTTAGGATGCATATTCTTCTTTTATTTTTCTCATATGGTTACCTACCATTGGAATTCTTTCTTAACTGTTTGATAGAATTTGCCAGTGAAGCTATCTGGATCTGGAGTTCTGTTTGTAGGAAGTTTAAAATTGAATCAATATCTTTAGTCATATTGGGACTATCTCAATTTTCTCTTTCTTCACTTTGGTTTTATTTTTCTAGGACTTTGTCCATGTTACCTAAATTTTTGTTGTACAAAATAGTCCATAATATCCTCTTCTTATCCTCTTAATGCCTGTTTTCTCTTGTATTATTTTTCTTTCTTCTTCTTCTTTTTTTGAGAAGTTTCACTCTTCTTGGCCAGGCTGAAGTGCAGTGGCACAATCTGTCTTGGCTCACTGCAACACCTCTGCCTCCCAGGTTCAAGCAAGTCTTCTGCCTCAGTCTCCTGAGTAGCTGGGATTACAAGCGCCTGCCATAATGCCCGGCTAATTTTTGTATTTTTTTTAAGTAGAGATGGAGTTTCATTATATTGGCCAGGCTTGTCTCGAACTCCTGACCTCAGGCGATCCACCTGCCTCAGTCTCCCAAAGTGCTAGGACTACAGGTTTGAGCCACCGTGCCTGGCCTCTCTTCTATTCTTGATCATGTTAGGGTCTTTTCAAACTAAACTAACTTTTGACTTTTTGTTTTACATTTTGCTAATTTGGACTCTCACGTTTATTCTTTTATTTTGTGTTTAATTTGCTGTTTTTAACTCCTTGAGGTAGATATTTAGCTCATTAATTTTCAGGCTTCTTTTTAATGTATACTTCATAACTTTCTCTCTATTGAGGGCTTTAGCTGCATTCCACAGGTTATAATATATAGTATTTTTGTTATTTAACTCAATATTTTCTAATTCACATTATTTCTTTGAATGATAGATTACTTAGAAGTGTATTTCTTCCAAACATTTGACCACTTTATAGCTGTTGTTGTGTTACACAGTATAGATAACTGATAATATCTGTTTACAAAAGATACATCCAAAACATAAACATTTACAGAAGAAAGTAAAAGGATGGACACAATATATTCTGCAAAAATAATTAAAATAGCCTTTAAGACAAATGAGCATTACTAGGAATAAAAAGGGGTATTTCACAAAGGAAAAGTTCAATTCACTAGGAAGATTTAATTTTAATTATGAGTGTAATGTGGCTTCAAAATATGCTGGAAAAATTGGAAGAATACGAGAAGAAGTTGGTAACTGAGAGAACAAGCAGACAAAAAGCAGTAAGGAGGTGGGGCTCTTCCCTACTGGAAAACTAAGCACTTGGCTTTGTCTGCCTTTAAGGTAGCCTAGCACTGATTCCTAGCCTGAGGAGGGGATGTGGAGCAGACCTGCTGGAGGGTTTCTGGTCTTTCCTTCTGGTTTTACTCCTCCGGGTCCATCACCAGGTATTGGAACTGCTATAGGTTTGCAAGGAAATCTAGTACAACCTGGATATCATTTTTAGTTTCTGCATGTGCCATCTGGGGGCTAGAGAGAGGTGGCAGAGGGAAGTGAAGGGCTGAGTGCCCTGAATAAACCTGGTGTGTCATGACAGCAAGGAACTAGTTTTAGAGATTCATTGCAAGCCGAAAAGGGCAGACATTTATTGAAAGGATGCTGGACTGCTTCAAGATTACTCAGGAAGGGTGGGGCCCAGGGTGACTCTTAGCTGTATGAGAACCAAGCATCCTCCTTTCAAAGGCTCCTGATTCTTGTGGACCAACTCCTGCTGCTAACCCTAGGAGGCCTCCCGGTCCTCTCCGTGGAGGAATAGGCCAGGTGGAGGTTTGATGTCCAGTGGCGAGCAAGGAGAATGTTGCTATAGGGTGTAGTCAGGCAGCACAGCCACACAAGCCAGACAGCGTGCACTAGGCCATGGCCAGCCACCACCAGGACTCGGGGACTGGGCTCTTCCTAGAACACACTCTCTCTCCCTATCTATGTCCTGATGCCTGCCATGGGCTGCACTCTCTGGGACCAGCAGCTACAGCCCGGCACTCCCAAGCCATGCCCAAGATCTGAGCCACTTGCTCTGGGCACACTCCTCGTGGGCTTTGGGGTGCTGCTGCCCAGTGCCAGCAGTCCCTTGGCACAGGGGTTCCCAGAGGCCCCTCAGCCCCATGCCCGACCCCCTCTCCCTGCTGGCAGCTCCACAGGCTTCCTTCCACTTCTACCTGCTGCCCACCCAGTGATGCTGCCAGGGTCTTGGAACTGTGCCCTGTAGTTCATGCCCCCTCTCAGCTGTAGGAGAGGTACCAGCTGTAGGGATGGCTTTGTCATGCCTCGTCCCTCCAGCTGGCCTTAGAGAGAAGAGCTGAATTGTGCCCCTGCTGTTCAGTGTCTGCTGGGCCAAGAGGACAGCTGCTAAGCTGTCAACCCACCCATGGCCTTAGGAGCCCAGGAGGAGACAAGGAGCAGGCCCAGACTCTGCAGAGCACTGATAAGATGGGCCAGGGACGCGCCTCTCCATGCCCAGTGGCCTTGGAAGCCACAACCCCTCTGGAGGTGGGGGCCAGGACTGCCCAGAACTGCAGCTGGAGCTTCATCCTTTTCAGGAAGGGCAGGACCTGGGGTGTGAGGGAAGACTGGGACAGGGCTGGAGGCAGGCTCGGCCGCTGAAATGATGGCCTGTCATGGCTTCTGCCTGCACTCCTCAGGCAGGCTCCTTGGAGGGGACATTTCATGGCCTCAGAAACTTGTCTGGACGTGGCACTTGCTTGACCCCTAGCTCTGTAGGGGCTGGGGGAAGCCTGCATGGATGAGGGGAGGAATAAGGGAGGAAGGTCAGAGCTGTACAAGGGGATGCAAAACCTGTACTCCATGACCACTGTGTGAGGCACAATGTACTATCCCAGAAGCCTTTGCTGAAGTGCAGTGGACAGTACCCTGGATGGGGATCAAAAGAACTGAGTTGGATTTTAGTTCTACTTCTGAAAAGCTTTGCATAATGACATGTAGATGATCTTCTTTGAGTCTCAGCTTTGTTGCTTGTAAAATGCAAATAATTCCTCCCTCCCAAGGATTCTATATAGACTGAGATAAAAAATGTTAATGTGCAAAGTAAACAGCTAGGCTGTCCTAAAGGCACTGTAAATCTTGGTTGCATCCAAATCTGATTTTTGTCTGGGACCAGGGTTAGGGGCCAGAATACACCAGAGGTGAGGTCCAGCCTCCCTGAGAAACATCAACAAACCTACCCCACATCCCATTATACCTCCTCACCCCCTGCAGCCTGTCAGCTTCCCCCATCTCCCTCACTCACCGTCACCTGGGGCTCTGGTGCACCAGAGGACACTACTTGCTCCCTGGTACACAGAAGAGTGCAGCCAGTGTCATACCCAAGGCCTATAACTGAGGTCCACAGGCAAGAGCCCTCCCAGCCCACATCTGATGCCCAAGATGCAAAACTAAGTGGAAAAAGCACTGTAGAACAGTATGTGGATATGGTCTTGTTTATGTGTGTGTGTAAGGTATAGGTATAAAATATGCTTGCATATTCATAGGAAATCTATGGACGAATACACAAAAATTGTTAACAATGGTTATTACCAGTTTTACATGGATGATAAAGAGGGAGGGGTGAGGAGTATATTTTTACTAATCATTATCATTTGAATATTTTTGCCATAAAGGTGTGCTACTTTTATAATTTAAAAACCCTTAAAATCAAAAGATATAGATAATAGTACATAGATATAGATAGATGATTGATGTACCATAGTGGCAGATAAATGATATAAAATAGCTAAAAGCTAAACCATTCAGGTATCTCTGTGCATTGGTTTCCTCACGGGAAATGGTACCTGTTTTGTAGGATTATTGTGAGGATTAAATGACTTCATACGTTTAAGCATATGTTTAAGTCCTTGGAACAGTGCCTGGC